ATGCGCAATGCTTAATTTAAAATAGTCAAATTATTAATTTCAACTAAAAACAAAACTTTTTTTTTTATTTTTTAAAACCATTTGATATATCAGTTATCTCATTTCGTTATAATAAATGTAAAAAGAATTTGAAAGAAAAAATAAATTAATATAAATCTTGTTTAGGAACTGTGATTAAATTTATTGTGATATGTAAAAGAATTTAGGAATATAAAGTTCTTTGCTGAAAAAAGCAAACAATTAGAAGTTAGTCACTTAAGAAAAATCTCATATATATTTTTTATTACACCAATAAAAATAAAATCTTTTTAGGATCTCTTCAGCACATTCTAAGGATAAACACATGTTTCAATAGAAAGCATAATAATTCTGTCAAAAATGAACTCAAAATACTTTTATATTGAATGATAAAATACACCATTAAATATAAGATCATGTATAATGTTTAATCAATAAATTCTCAAAACCATAGCATATTTCTTTCAAAATATATTTCTCGAATACTCATAAAACTAAACTAATTAATTGCCGAACTGCTGCAAGAGAAATGTTACACTATGAGTCATGGAAATTACGATTGCATCAAAACGGCAAAATGTTTAGGAATGAGAGACGTTAATCTCTTAGTTCAAGGTCAATGACGCACTTTTCGTACACACATGAAATGCAATTCAATTCGTTGTTAAATGAGATACAAATAAAAACTTGAATATTACATACGACTTTCTTAATATTTTAAAAGATATACTTGTAAAAAATTTTATTTGATACGATTTCTATACACAAATAGAAAAATAGTATTTCAGAAAAACACACATGATATTTAAAAATATAAATTACTTCATAAAATCGACTACAACAAATTTTTTTGTTTATAAGTAAATTAACAGTGGCTAACGTATTCTTTTCTGAAGATTCCCTTTTATTTTTTTGAAGAACAATCAAAGATACAGTACCTGATTTACTGGACAACGTGTTTACTGATAATCTTGAAATAGACACTGGACTTGAAATGGAGTTGTACGCATCAGAAAATAACGTGTTTTCGGCGAAATTGCAAGATTTTGATTTGTAAGTTGCGGCTTCGGGAGTCGTTTTATTCACCTAAATGTTTGTATGTTATGAGAGGCAATCCGCGCATTTTCGATTCAGTCCGTTTGTAATTTAGGCGTGCAGCCCAAAATGGTTTGTTTGTTTTTTTAAAGAAGAAGAGGGTTAGAATTATCAACTTATTATTTAGAGAAGATTTTCGAAATCATATCCCAGGCGATTCCTCAATTATTTCTGTGGGAGTCCGAATAAATCTTCGAATAAAAATCTGACTCTTCAGAAGGCGGGATTTTATAATGGTGAGGTGGGTTGTCTAGGGGTAAGTATTTAAGGGTGAGTGATGAATTAGTTGAATCAAAGTCATTTAAACACAGATACTTCATTTAAGTAAAAAAAGAATTTATTTAAAGTTAAAGGGAAATATTTACAAAAGGGGATATTTACAAAGAGAAAGACATGCAGGAATTAGGTTAATTGAAAGTTGAGTTATACCTTTAGAAGACGGGGAAATTAACTACCTTTCTCATTCTTGGACGTTAGGACTGGTGGTACCGCGCAGGGGGCGAAATGCGCTAAAGACGCGACGTGTTGAACAAGCGGTGGTTAGTAGGCCTCTGCCGAAAAATTATTCAAGCCGGAGCTACGAAAGCTCACTAGATGGCGCTACTTCGGAATGCAGTAATAAATAAAATTGAGATTAATGGTCCTCTGAAAAGGATATGACTCAACTTTTTAACAAAATGTTTCAAAGGGAAAATCCTACATGTATATACATATGACATAATCACAACATTAAGTGGGAATTAATTTTTATTAATTATCATTAAAGTATAGTATTGTCATCCAAAACAATCGTGTAAATTTCAGTTCAACTGAGCGTTATAAAACATGAGAAAAAAAACCTTTTCAAGTTTTGACACAAGTCGCGAAGTAGCCAAAAGGATGTCAACGTGGCTGTATTTTTAATTCTTTAAATAATAAGTTTTAATCAATTAATTTTTATTAATTATAATTAATTTATCGTATTGCCATCCAAAATAATCATGTATATAAAATTTCAGCTCAATTGAGCGCTTTAAAATGTATTTTATAAACGATTGAAAATTCTCCCAAGATAAATAAATAAATAAATATAGAGAGAGTGTGAGCTAATAGTAGGAATTGATGAAAGAAAATTAAATCAAGTTGTCTAATTTTTATATTACACAAAAAATGCACACAAATTTATGATGGATGGGAGATATAGATTTTACAAACTAATTTTAGTTTTTCATTTTTTGAACACGTATTTCCTCTGGGTATAGGGCGGAAGTTAGGAGAGGGCGGTGCCAACTCAGGTGTCGGCCTCGTCACTTGACCATGGTTCAAAACTTCGATGTCCTTAATCAAAAAGCCTTTGTGTAGCTGAATAGAACAGCGTTAATATTCACGCACTAACTATTTCTTTCTTTAACAAATTTTCGTTTATCTTTCAATTACTTTCGTTATAAAAATATTTTATTCCAATAATTCAGCAGGATATAAATAATAAAAGATTTTTATTTTATAAGTAAAGGAAAAGTCATATTTTTGTATCGAATACTTTACTTACCCTAAACAGAAGCAAGTACTAAGCGAATCTGTACTAAATAATCTTTATTTCTTAGACAATGAATTAAGGGAGAATTACATAAAAAATTTCCAAACTAATGGTGTATATATAACTTACTTTTTTATATAAATTCAAATTTTATAGATTAAAATAATAAGGATTTTATAACCACCTGTTGTTTTTTATTTACAACTTCTAAATTATTCCATTATTTTGTCATTCCATTTTCTCGGAAAAATTAAAGAATTTTCATAAATAATTAGTTAACCTTTAGTACCGTTTATAGATTTAAGGTATCCGACTACGTTCGGAACCGTGATTTTCAAAAGCGCATAAATGGATAACGTTCATGATATTTGGTGTCACTTAGATTAGAATATATGCATAAAATTGTTTTAAAGACATTTTTACAAAAAAAATTATTTAAATATAATATTTTGACAAAAAATTAACTTAGAATAATCTTTTTTCCAAATGTTCTCCTTTTGTGAAAAATTGTTTTATTATAATAATATCTTGCCTGTATATAGTCAGACCTCTGTATAGAGGTTCAACTAGAAGTTTTGAAATATATAAATTAGAAGTGTGTTTATATTCATATTTTACGACAGCAGAGGGGGAAATTTTAAGAAAAAAACGCAGATAATTATTCCAATTGGTTGTAAATCTGAAAATAATGAGAATTTTTTTCAAAAGTCCTAGTTCAGACTCTCTGGAGAGAAGTCTATACTTTATATAAGCAAAATATTATTATTTTAGAAGCATTTTTTATAAAAGGAGAACATTTTGAAAGAAATGCTGTTCTAAGTTATTTTTTTGCCGAAATATTGTATTTAAATATTTTTTGCCAAAATGTCCTTAAAACAATTTTATACATGTATTCTAATCCAAGCCACACTAAATATCATAAAAATCATCCATTTATGCGCTTTTTTAAAATCACAGTTCCGAACGTAATCGAGTACCTTAAGGTATCCGACTACGTTTGGAAGCGTGATTTTGCAAAAGCGTATAAATTGATAATATTTATGATATTTAGTATCACCTAGTTTAGAAAACGTATATAAAAACTATTTGAAGAATATTATTACAATACAAAATTGTTCATTTTGACAAAAAATGAACGTAGAATGACCAATTTTCAAAACATTCTTCTTTTAAGACAAATGCTTCGATTATAATAATATTTTGCATGTATAAAACTCTGCACAGAAGCTGAACTAGAATTTTTGAAATATATAACTTAGTAGTGGATTTATCCATATATTTTACTACAACGGAGGGGAGAAATTTTAAGAAAAAGCCGCCGAAAATTATTTTAATTTGTGGTAACTCTGAAAATAATATGAATTTTTTTAAAAATCCCAGTTCTGACTCTCTGGAAAAATCTTTATTTATATAAGCAAAATATTATTATTATAGAAGCATTTTTTTATAAAAAGGGAATGTTTTTTGAAAAAGCTTATTCTAAGTTAATTTTTTGCCAAAATACTGTATTTAAATATATTTTTTGTCGTAATGGCCTTAAAACAATTTTATACATGTATTCTAATCTAAATGACACTAAATATCACGAAAATTATCTATTTATGCGCCTTTTTTAAAATCCTTGTCCCGAAAGTAGTCGGAAACCTTAAATATAAATTTATTTTCATTTTTAATAAATGGAAAAAGGTGGTGAGGAACGCAAAGGGAAAAAAAATAGAAAATATAAGAAAATAAAAATGTAAAAATACTCACAAACTTATAAGAATTTTTTTTTCTTGTACATTTGCAAGGAATAGTAATTTAGAGTAGCATGAAAATCTCCATCCCCTCCAAATAAAGAGAAAGAAGTAACCGAAAAGTGCAATTCCCTGTATAATGCATTCAAGCATACTACACAATTCAAAACTATTTGTTCCTATACCACCTGTGAGTTTCAAAGCTTACATTTTTCAAAAATATTAGACTAACTGAATTTTTGACGAGACGAATAAGTTCAAAGAGTTATCTCATAAGATCAGATCTTTTTAGCAGTGGTTTATATATGTCGCAGGAAAATGATGAAATTAGGGCTTTCATCAAGTCCCTAAGGGCGATGGTCAATTCATGCAAGATGATAAAATAATGTCACTTTGCGGTGATTTCCCTGATGTAAGTAAGTAATTTGATCAAATACCCGAACTGTTTTAGTGAAATGATTAAATTGACAAGTCAGCATTTATAGAGCTCCGTTTTGGCTTGTCACCACTCTCTTTTTCCTCCCTCCTCTCCTAATCCGTGCCAGACAGAGAAGAGGCATTAAAAAATGAATAAATAGCAACAAATAAAAATAATAGTCCAATACCATATATAAAAAAGGAAAATCGCTCGCCGTTTCTCTGTCGCGCAATGGATAATCGTGTTGGACTTCTAATCCAAAGGTCGTGGGTGAGAATCCCACCTGGGATGGCTTCATTTCTGGAATGTGATTTATTTCTTACCACACTATTTTAATGGAATTACTAAATTTAATTAGTGAATAAATAGTAACAAACAAAAATAACAGTCTAACAACATACATAGAAAGGAAAATGGAAAATCGGTTTACATTTTGCCACTTAATATTGTGATTCTGTCATATGTATATATATATATTTATATAAATTATAATTATTTAATAAATGTAACAAATAAAATGTTTTTTGTTTGATCTAAGTAGGAAATAACTTCATAATTTTTATATTACTTGTTTTCCCTTCATTTTAACACATTTACCGACAAAGTAAATAACAGCAACACAAACACATACGGACTTGGTGCGCAAAATCGTTCTTTTTTTCATTTTGGAGAGATCAGGTTTGATATCTTTTACAACCGGCAGCTTTGAGAATCGTATCATATCCGTTAGTTATTACCATGATTGGTCAGAATCAATGGCTTATGCAACATCGCATAATCTTATTTTGAAATTCATAAATGTGGTAGTTTTTGAGGAAACAAAGCTGGAGTTATATAAAAGGGTATTTCCCCCTAGGCGGTAAATTAAAACAATCAATTATTACACGATATCTTGGAGTGTACAAGACCATCATAAACTAAATAAAATCACTGGAAAGAAAATTTAAACTAATAATAATTCCATATAGTATATATATATATATATATATATATATATATATATATATATATATATATATATATATATATATATATATATATAAAAGAGAACTAAGAGAGAAAATTTTTATCACATGTTAGTGTATTCCATATTACACTGCTGGACAATTGCTAAGAACACATAACACTATCATCCATAGCAACCACAAAATGAAAGGAAGCAAAATGTGGAAAATTAGAATAAGTGCGGGATATTAGTAAGAAGAAGTATGAGTATGCAAATTTTTTTCCACGTCTGTTCATCACGTGATAGCGTTCATAAGAGCTTTAAAGGTTTTGACGCGTGTGGACAGTTGTTGTTTCAAGTCAAGTTTTACAGGAAAGATTTAATAGACGAACTTAAAATTTTTGGCATGTCTTCCCGACATCACATAGATGATTTTATGCGTGGCCGAATTATTGGAAAGATCGAAGAAGGGCGAAAAATAACACATGTTGCCAGGGAGTTCGACATCGCTCACAGCGTTGTTTCACGGCTGTGGAAGTCATTTAAAACTACTGGAATGTGTAGTAGACGGCACGGGGGAGGTCGTGTTAGAAGTACGACGCCTGCAGAAGACAGATATATCGTCCTATCAGCAAAAGGAACAGGCGCACCACAGCTCAGCGGGTGGCAAATCAGTTTCTTGCTGCCTCAGGAAAGAAAGCAGATCTCCCGAAAAATTGTTGCCAGACGTTTGAGGGGAGAAGGACTATACGCACGCAGACCTGTTGTATGTGTCCCATTGACCAGACAGCACCGTACTGCCCGTTTGCAATGGTGTCGTGAGCATCACAATTGGACTGAACAGGACTATTCTCAGATGAGAGTAGGTTCAGTCTGTCATCGGATTGTAGACGCCAACTGATCTGGCGCGAGAGTGGTACTGCTTATCGTCCAGAAAATATCCAGGAAAAGGACCGATATCCGACATGCAGTATCATGGTGTGGGCTGGCATCACGATCAATGGCCGCACGCGCCTACATGTGGTTGCGAATGAGACTATGATGGGCCAACGATACATTGATGAAGTTCTACTTCCTCATGTTCGTCTTTTCCGTGGAGCTGTCGGTGATAAATTTGTTTTTATGGACGACAACGCAACATGTCATCGAACACTCGCTGTTCAGGATTGTCTAGACAGCGAGGGTATTCAACGTCTCGTATGGCCAGCGCGTTCTCCAGATCTAAACCCCATTGAAAATGTGTGGGATGCTTTGGGAAGGCAAGTTGCTGGTCGAAACTATCCTCCGACAAATAAGAACACTCTCATCCGTGCACTCACAGAGGAATGGGATAAATTGCCTCAACAGCTGCTGGATAATGTTGTGCAAAGTATGGTACGACGTGTGGAATGTTGCATCACACTCCACGGTGGACATATCCCGTACTGATACCTTTCTTTAAGGTGCCTGCTGACTTTTAGATGCATTGTTCCATTTCTCCGTATGCAGATCAAATGAAATTTTTTTTTCTTTCAGATGTTTCACAGCTTTTGTACTTTCCAGAACAATAAATATTCTTTATCCTAATGTCTGAACAGTGTGGCAACTATATTTTATCCTACTAGGCCTCATGTCTCGCTTAATGTTATGCTACATAGCAATTTGTGATCCGTCCTTAGCAATTGTCCAGCAGTGTAGTTACTTCTAAAGAAGCATTTATTAAGTAATGGCTTTCTTAACAGCTATTTTTACAGCTAGTTTTCACAGTCATTATTTAATTTTTTTACAAAAAGAACAAATTTATAGGTATGGCAGCGTTTCTCAAACTACGGGGTATCCCCCCCGGAGGGGAGGGTTAACTCTACAAGGGGGGCGCGAGGATATTGAAATGTTGAAAACTAAAGATTATTCAAAACATTATTAATTTATTAAAAGTAAACAGACAAAATACTTTCTGACATAATAAAATATAAAATACACATTTACACCGATATAATACACTTATAAAAGTGCATGTACTGTGAAATGTATTTTATTATTAATTTAACAATACTAAGTTAAGAGCAAGTTTGATAATTACCAGTGACCCCATGAGCTTATATTAACACTTATCTTGATGATTTATACGGTTTATAATTAATTCCTTAACTGTCGCTTAAACGTTACGCGGTTTGGTCCCCAATGCCACGGTTTTCCACGTTTACGTGCGTATTTTGATGTTTTATTGGAAGGGGGGAGGAGAAAAGGAATGAATAAGCAAAATCATCTGAAATAAGTAAATCCTTTGCAAAGACTGTCAAGTTTCTTTTATTGTATACTAAAATCTTAGGAATATTTTTATGGATAGCTGTGCACATAAAAGATCGTACTTCAGAAAGACGTATATATACGTCCATATGATTAAAGCTTTGGCTGAGCTAGACGTTTATATACGTCGGTCGCACGTAGGAGGTTAAAGTCGTACAACACACACACACACACTACACACTGTAGCTTTAGTGTAAAAGTATAGTATTATTGAATTCAATACAATCTTATTGTATGGAGGGGGTGCGATGAAAATGACGATTGAATATTGGGTCGCGAGTATTGAAAGTTTGAGAAGCACTGGCGTATAATTATGCAATTTTTATTTATTTGTAAATGGTTAGACATGTTTTATGTTAGTGTACCAAATTTTGTGTGTGAATTTGATTGATGGGAAGCCACCATTTTTATTTTTGCAAGCTTCATATAAACAAGTAATATAAAAAAAAATTAAGCGAATTCCTACTTAGGTCAAAAAAGAAACAATTTATTTCAGTTACTTTTTATTAAAGTAACTTGCCATTAAATTAACCTTGCCATTTTTCATTTTCCTTTCTATATATGCTGCGTTGGACTATTCTTTTATTTGTTACTATTTATTCATTTCTTAATTTAATTAATGAATTAATATTTCAAAAAACTGTATTAACATCAAGTGTCATCCACTGTAAATTTTAAAAAAATGTATTTGAACTTGAATGGATGAATAGAAAGTACATTTTTGTTAACGATTGAAAAATTTGAGCAAGATATATATATATATATATATATATATATATAGGGAGGGTGTGAACTTATAGTAGGAATTGAAAGAAAAATAAAGATACGGTGACATGTAATCTACTTGCACAAGTTTTTCTAACAGAAACGTTTATGTTTCGCAAAATGCCGGATTTACTAAGAAAAATTCCAGATACACACAGACACGTTTTATACAAACATTATGATCTACATAAAAACCTCCATTAAATATCATGAAGCTTTTACCATTAAAATTTTAATTCCAAAAATTAAAACAATACGAAAGCCGTTCCCAAAACACGTTAAACCTGGGAAAACATTCCAAAAAGATTTCACCTGTATTTTATTAATCTCCATAACGAATACAAATTACAGAGTGACAGAAAGACAAATAATGATTACATCAAGTCAATCAAAACGAAGAAATGTATAATCTCGCCAGCAGTTTGATCAGAAGCTAAGTAAAGTTTATTGGTGCCAGACATGCGTCAAATAATGCCATACTTAACACATGAAGAGATTGGACAGCTTGTTCAAGGTGTATTGGGACAACAAACAGGTGTTAAAGAGTTTTAATTGCTTGAAGGGTTATGACAGGTGTAATTTCTTTCATAAAGGTGTTATTTCCAGGAAAACATGCAAATATTTATGTCTGGGTTCTTATTCTTTGAATGTGGATGATTCTGAATTAGCAAATAAATTGCTTATGTTTAAATTATATTTATGAAGAACGGATTCGCGGAATGGTGTCGATGAACTAGTTGTAACTTATGTTCAAACAAGTAAATAATCTTTGTTAATTGTAATTCAGTAGAATGTCACGTTTATGTAACTTGTGCGTTGGAAATTCTTGATGAAGTGTAAGTTCATGTTAACGAAAGAAAAGATAGACTAAAAGAACGAGAATAATAATTAAAGTAATAGTAATAAAAAGGAATAATACATGGTGGTTATCAGAAATGAATGACCCAATTACAAAATTTAATAATTCTCAGATGAATAAACAGAAAAATATAATTAAGATGTATTTTATCGTAAAGATAAAATATGAAATTGTTTTCATACGTAACGTTTCTTGACGTGAAGTAAAATATGTTCAATGTGATTTCCCTTAGTCACACGTGTAATATCAATGCGAACATGGTCACCCTGGACTTTTGCTTTACACAAGTGTCCAGTTTCCTTGAACTATTTGTACCCATCTTCTTATACTCTTAGATGTCGGTGCATTTATATGGTATACTTTCTCTGAAATTCACGTTGAACCGTGATTACTAACAGACTTTTTCAAACGAAAGCGCACAAAATGCCTTCCCTC